TAAGTGCTAATGCTATTTACTTGCTATTTACTTTTCATAATCTCTTTACATATTAACAGAATATCTGGAGAAACAGAGCCCAGGGATACAAATAGTTCAAAACTTTTCAGCCAAGTTGAAGAATCCTGTTGCTTGCCAAGTTGAAGAATCCTGTTTTCTATTCTTTTCTGCACCTTAAAAGAATCAAACCATGGATGGAAGGCATTTTTAGTTATTGATTTGGCATTTAGCTTCAACACATTAAGATGTGATGGGGATGCTAACATGGCAACCAGGAAAACTCCATCTGGGAGAGAGCAAAAAAACCTCTGGGGGATAACCTGACACTCCTCAAGCTTTTTTTTTTCATTCCCTAATATATTAACCTTTCATTGCTGTATCTTCTGCATTGTCATAGCATACAGACCACATCACCACTATCTTCAGCCTTCTCAACCGCTTGCCTTCTCATCCGCTTTCCTGCTTGTAGCAGCAAAATAGAGGACCACCTTTGATAAATCTGACATGCCAAGCAAAATGAGATCCAATCTCTTTTCAAAATGCCCCAATCTCAAAACAATCCAATTTTCTCATCTGAAAGCCTCCAAGCAAGGAACAGCCTTCTTTCATAATAGGTCTAGCCAAGAGGTTGCCGATATGGCAGTGGGATGATCTTCAACTTTGTCTAATTCCTTTCTGATGATATTCCACTTGGGAGACAGCCTCACAGAACTACAAAGTTTCTACCATAGTCTACGATGCTCAGTTGTGGTAGAAAAAGGTGTCATTCAAAGGTCAGATTCATAGTCCATCTTTCAGTTTTGCCACTGTTCTAGCAATCCATTAAAGTTGCTGCTGTTCCTGCTCATATATCCTCACTGAAAGAAGCACCTGATCCTTATACTATGACAGTAACAAGGCTTTCTTATCCAGACTGATTATTTAGACCAGGAACAGAACCCACCAAGCTCTTTGCTCAATGTGATGCTTTAAAGGTATCTTATTTTTTTTAAAAAAGAAAGAAACGGGGAATGGTATATTGCAAAGCACTAGCTTCTAAATTTCCCCTAAGTTTTCCTGGTAAATAAAAACTGTGGATCCCTGTGATTCATTGCTTGATTTGGAAATATGACCATCTGTAGGAAGAGAAAAGACCCCAGTAACTTTATGGGGAAAGCAGCAACTTCATCAGTCTTGCTTCAGTTAAAATGATTGTTTACCTGACTGGCCTGAAGTTATTTTGTGAGGACACCAATAAAGCTCCTAAAATTCCAAAAGGTACTCAGCAATTCACAATTTGTTATTCAAGAAATATATGGTTCCTAGAATTTGTACAAAATGGGATAGATGAAATCATTAAAAGCTTTCTTTTATAATTACTAAAAGAGACCTGGAGGAAGGATGGAAAAAAGTGGTTACATTTTACAATAGTGTGACAATATCCATTTCCTTTTTAAAAATCTTTCTTAGTCATAATGACTAAACGAAAAACTACAATTTGTCTCACAAAGGAAGAATTCTATATAGATTTGTAATAAATGTGTCAATTTATTGGTGGTATAAAGCTGAATGATACCATGCTATCATGGATTATGGCCTTTTTATTTAGAAAATTTACCTGGATGCCCTTTTCACAAATGAATTCTGAATGGCTAATAAGAATCAATGAGAAAAACATAACTTCTATAAATTAATATTCTCCCCTCCATATTTAAAAGAATCATAGCATAATTACAAAAGCCTTATAAACTCACCCACACAAACCATATATACTGGGCTTATCTAACATCCTGGCCCAGTATCTTGTGGGGGAAAGCAAAGACTTCACAGCCTTTTGGAAGAGGCCCTCTGGAGACGATGGGGGATTGTTCCATGGGCAGGCACCGAGACAGAGAAGGTTTGACTCCTTGGACCCACAAGATGACAGTATTTCATAGACAGGACCTGGAGACTACCTGCCCTGTTAGAACTGGTGGATAGGCAGAAATCTCAAAGATAGGTAGTCCTGCAAGTAACTTGGCCCTGTGCCATGCAAGGCTTAAAGATGTTAAGTTGTATGTTGAGTTATAACTGGAAGTGTAATTGGAGGCCAGTGAAGCTCATGTAACAACAATGTAACCGATGCAAACCTCAGCGCACTCAAAACTGCACATACCGTTGGATTCTGGACCAGATGAAGCATCTAAGTATTTTTTTAAGAACAAGTATTTATTTAAGGACAGTCCCATTACAGTGATTCAATTGGGAAGTGACTAAGGGATAAGCAAATGTAACCAGGGCCTCCCAATACAGGAATGAGAGGATTTGGCACACAAAATGAATTTATCCCTCCCCTCTGCAGCCACTAGCTATTCAAACAGGAAGCCTAAGTCTAGGAAGAATCCCAAGTTATGTGGGATTCAGTGGATTGCTATGTCACTGAATATTAAAAGATGAAAAATCTACAGAATCAGGAGGCCCCAAACCACTGGGTCTTGATAAGGTTGAATGTAGCCTTTCTTCCTCACCCAGACTCATATAGCCACTGGGCAAGCATCTCAACAACATTCACTTATCCAATCAAGGATAGCGATGAATAATTCAGAATCTGTTGGAGAGAGACTGGCGGAACCAGGGAGAGAAATCAAGTGGGAATTAGAGTCTCTACATAGTCACAAAAGGACAAAGCCCAGCCTCTCCTGAATGCCACTGAACCTTACCTGGTTATACCCAAATGCAGACTGTTAGTTTCAGAAGATTTCTGTGAATAGGCTTGAGCAATAAAGCAGCAAATTGGACCTCTGTGTATGGAGCTGATTGTTTACTCCTGACAGTATATCTCACTCCTAATGGTGCCAATGGATGACCTCACCTAGGAATTTCATACAAATATTAAATAGGACTAGAAAGAGAGCCAAGACCTAAGGCACCCAACTAGAACAAGCACAGGATTAGACCCTTGCCTAGTCTAAAATGGAACGAGCACTAGAAGAATAAGCACAAAACAATTCCTTGCTTCTAATCCCTTAGACAAATCCAGAAAAACACCGTAACTGATGCTATTAAAAGCCACTGAGACCCCTATGAGATCAAGGATGGACTTACCACCTCACCCTGAGCCACAAGCACAACCAATGGTGTCTCAATACTATAACCCAGGTTGAACTCCAACTCAGGTTATAACTTTATTGTTTATCACCTATGTTACAAGAATCTCATCAGACTGCTTGCCTTACTCTGGGAACAACTAAATAAGGCTTCGTGGATTTATGCTGTTTGCAGTTACACAATAACTCCAAGCTAGGCTCTTGCATGACCCCTCCCTCCAGCCTAGCTGGCAATTCCCCAACAGTGATGCTCTTCTTACTTTCACAGAACACAGTTAAAAATACTGACCTGTTCCCATTACTATTTCCTTACTAATTACTTGTACATTTGTTAGGGACATCTTTATAAAAAAACTACCTTTGGGAGTATTGTTTAGAGGTAACTCTAAAATACACAGCAATACAGGAAAATAATATATTTGAGACAGCAAGTTCATCCATTAACAATTACAACAATTACATCACATCCCTTTAGCATAGCAACTATTCTGTATCTCTATAGCATAAGAAGTATTCCTTATCCATATAGCTGATTATTTGGTGTGTTCTTTTCCATTCTGTAAACATAAATGATTTCAGCTCATAATTTGAAATAATCATTGGGTCAAAAGTCCTTGAAATGTTTCTGGTATGAAAACAAATGACCACAAGATGGAGCAAGCACATTTTCCAAGAGAAGAATTTTAAGAAAAAGGATTGCCTGTGGAAAGATATCTTTTCAATAATTCCAAATTTGAGGGTGAGGTGAAAGTATTTTATTCCCATCACTTTCTATACTTGTGCTGGCTATAGTGTTTTGAAGGAGGAGAAAATGTAGATAAATTTTTAAATAATTATTCATAATTGGAATAATAGATTTTTCATTTTGCAACAAGTTCCAATAATGAGACATACAAGTAGGCCAGATGGAAATGAAAGAGAGGATCACATTTGTAGCCCAGTCAGAAAAAAATAACTGAGTCTTGACATTAGGTTATATCAGTTGTTCTCTAGGCCGATATTCTAAATCAGAGCCAGGCATTTTATGGCCTGCAGGCCATATTGGGCCCTTTGACTGTCCCTGTCTGGCTTGTAGCACTGATGGGAGTTGCAGTAGGGGGGGGCAGGAAGCGTCAACCCTCCATAACAATTCCAGTTTCTCATATGACACCTTGGGAAAACTATTTGCACATTTCTGTTCTAAATTATGGCAAGTAATTGTTTTAAATTACAGGAACAAATCTGCTGCCAAGCTATTGAAAACGTTTGTGAACAGTGATATATTCTCCCTCATGATGTGATGGCAAATGTTATAAGATACTGCAATAAATATTGAATATAAGTTAAATCATTAACCAAATATTTTTATGAACTTCATGTAACCTTGCAATGTGAAATCCTACATTTCTTCCACAATGTGTAGTTAGAGTTTTGAGGATGGTATCACAGTAAAGAATACGAGATTTTCTAAATATGAATGTGAATTACTTGAAAATTACCCTCAATTCCTGCTATTTGTACTGTATTTTGTTTCATCTATTTTTATCTAAAACATATAATCATTACATTGGATGTCAATGTTAAGGACATATTATTTATAAAAAAAAGTTTAACCATCTTATTGACTTTTCACCTCCTTCATTTCCAAGATACCCCTGTGCCAATTTCCCTTGACTCGTTGTGGTGTATAAATATAAAACTGGCATAATAATCTGATGCCCTCCGGATATTTTGGGTAACAATTTCCAAAATTACTCAATACTCTATTTAGGATGTATGGAAACTGCAAGCCAAAACATCCAGAGGCTCCAGGCATCCTTCCTCTGATCTACATTGGCAGTGATCCATACCCAAGTTAATAGGGAATATTATGTTTATTTAGCATGTCAAGTTCTTCATTAGTGCAGAAAACTGCAATGAGCTGCCTGGGTTGTAGAGCAGAAAATAAATACATACCTCCAAGTCTCTAACCAGGTTTTTCCCATTGTGCTTATTCTTGTAGCCCTTCCAAATTCTCTATCTGTCTCTTTCTGCTGTCATTCTCTTGTCTCCTCTTCCATCAGTCTCCCCCTGCTGTCCCTTCAACCAACAGAAGCTAGGGTACTCGTGGCTTCTTCCATCAGTTCTCCAAGGGGCAGAAGCTGAGCATGAAGTGGAGCTGAATCTTCGATCCTGCAGGGCTGTAAATATTTATTTATTTAGTTATTCAGTCAAGCAATTATAAGATAACAGGTATAAGTATAAACATAGTTATGAATACATGAAATGGGTACATATAAGAAAAATAAAAGAAACAATAGGACAGGGACGGTAGGCACGTTGGTGAGCTTATGCAATCCCCTATAGACCTCTTAGGAAAGGGGTGAGATCAATAGTAGACAGTCTAAGGTTAAAGTTTTGGGGGTTTGGGGAAGAAACCACAGAGTCAGGTAAATAAAGGTAAAACGGCCCCAAGCGGCTATACGACATAGAAAATATGATAAACAAAATATAAATAAATAAACAAAATGCCCCCAAGACAACTCCCTCCTTTTCTTCCATATTTCCCACCCCCGCCCCGGATGATTTCTTCTCGGCTCCCTTCCGCCCCACCTGCCAGTCTCCTTTTGGGGAGCAGGCAGACAGGCTGTTCCGAGGGGGACCCGCCTTCCCCCTTTCTTCCCTCGCGGTTACTCCTCGAGCTTTCTTCCTCCACAGCCCCGCTTCCTTTCTTCCCGCCTTTCGCTCGTCTTCCCCCTCCGGCCCTACCTCACCGAGGTCGCTCGCTCGCCCGCCCTTCGGCCGACTCGGCCTGGCCGGGAGCTCCGCCCCCGCAGCACGCATCCCCTTTGCCCCGCCCCGCGGAGCGGCCGGGGCCCGCTATTTCAGGGAGGCGGGGCCAGAGGTGTTAGCCCCGCCTCTCGCCGGGTGGTGACTGCGTTGTGTGGGCCCGGCGGCCGCCGCCGCTCTTGTCTCCTGCTCCGCCGCCTCTTCTTCTCTCCCTCTTTCCCTCCCGCCCGCAGTCATCGCCGGGGCGCGCGCCATGGCGGAGCCGCCCGCTTCTCCCGCCTCGCCAGGAGCTCAGCCCGCGGCCAATGCAACCCCCGCCGCCGGCTTTCAGCGGCTGCTCTTCACTCACGACCTGGTGTCCGGCCGCTATCGGGGTTCGGTGCGCTTCGGCCTAGTCCGTGTCATGCATGGCGAGGATTCCGACTCGGAGGAAGAGGACGGAGGTGGCGGCGGACGAGGCCCTGGCGGCTCCGGGGGAGGCGGCCCCGGAGGTGGCGGAGGAGGAGCCGGCAGCTCCGGCGGCTCCGAGTCCGGGGGCCCGGGCGGGGGCGAGGAGAGTCGCGGGAGCCCCCTCCGCCGCGGGTACGTGCGAGTCCAGTGGTACCCGGAGGGCATCAAGCAACACGTTAAAGAGACCAAGGTAACGCAGCTCCGGCGCCGCCGAGTCTCCTTTTGCATTTGGTCCGCACACGCGGTGGGTTGAGTGGGTGGGGTGTCCGCAATGGGGCTGAGAAGACGGCGGCGGCGGTAGCTGAGAAAAGGGTGGGGAAAGTGGGGAGAGGTACATTAGGCTTGGGAAGGTCTCCCGGGGTTGACAGGTGAGCCAACGGCCAGGTTTTGGGGAGCAAATAGGGGGGAAAGAGGGTAGCGTTTGAGGGTCCGAGAAGAAGTTGGCCTGGAAGAAGCCTGGTCTCTGGCCGTCAGAATGTGCAAAGCCTCCCTTGCACCACTGAGGTTGCCTGGTCTGCAGTGTCTTTTTATGCAAAATAGACCCTCATTAACACGCCGAAGGACTTCTGGTTTCTGCACCAACGTGGAAATAAAAGTTCCAGGTGCTGGTGCGGGTTTTCTTTAGTGCTCTGGGTCATGCATATAGGATTTTATGATGTGTAAAAATGACATTGGCTTCCATTTGACCACCACCTATCTTTGGCCACGTTTGCTCTCATTTTTTTTCTTTACAGACAATATCAGTTGAAGAGAAAAGCTGCATAGTGCCTTTTGAGAAATAGCACTATAGCACCAGGCAGCCTCTGTTGGGCAGCAGCCTGATTCTTGCATCCTTACCTCATCATTCCCAAAGTCATTTTTAATGATTTGTAAGGAAATGCATTCTTTTGAAAGGTAGTTTGGGCCTCACCTGTAATTCTGTGTCATGTTGGGGGTCTTGTTATATTAGAAATAATCATTCATGGCTCAATTAAGGGATTTTTCTTGTCTTGCAGTAATATTTTCATGTTATTACGTTGCTTCTAATTCACAGAACTGCATCCAACCTCTGTTTCTGACTATATTCTACATATGTGATAGAGTTTTTGGAGGTATAATGTATTGTTTATATATTAGAATTCATACATATTTTTGTGTGATATCCTTAAAATTATATTAAGGGCGGTTTGTATTATCCTATCTGAAATTCTGGTGGAGAAATCTAAAGAAATCATTTTATATTAATGTTGTTTACTTTTACCAAATTATAATAGATTGTGCTTTCTGGAATAAAGAAAATGACTATAACAAAATACCTTTGAAATGAAAAATATTGGAGGTTGAAAATTCTTGATTGGAATCCAAGTGTACATTGAAAAAAAAAAGAAAATTATTGTCTACTATAGTATTTGTGTGTTTGTGTACAGACATACACACTCAATGTGATGTCCTAATTGAATTGTTTTTAATTTTCTCTGGTGAAGGGATTATCAAGGTTTGTAAACTAATTTACATAAAGATTTCAGGAGAGTAAAGTTTGAATACAAAGTTGTTCTAAGAGTCTCACTAAAAGGAGGGGAAGGGATAGGCACTAAGAAAACAGATGAATGTCTAGATCTGAAAATTTGTGAGATGGATATTATGTCTCACATAATTATAAGCTTTTATATGCACATTGTTGCAAGCATAATATTTTGATCTGGAATGTATGCATGCTTTCCTATAAAGAAATGATGCGTTCATTTTAAAATAGAATATGTAAGTGCTATTGATGTTTTTCAATTGTTGCATCCATTAAATCTAAGAAGAGTAGAAAAATGGTGTCACTGGCAAAAAAAAACTTTCAAAGCTTGTGCCTAAAAGATTCCACATATGAATGTTTATTGAGCTCAGAGATATATAAACCTATTCACAATAAATGTATAAATTGTATATAAACTATTGGGGCTTTCCTTTAATCCTTTGTAAGAATAATTCAGGAAATTAGTTCTGCGAAGTCTGATTAAAATTTATTAGGAGATGAACTTGAAAATTATTGAATTATTGGATTTGACAAAAACTGATGGATTCAATTCAGAAACTATAAAAGCCAGCCCATGTGTGATGACCCAGGGTGTAACACAAATGTAACAAAATCCAGAATGTAAATAAATGTCCTTTAATGCCTCCAACTTGGCCCCACTGTTCAATCATTCTCAGATGGAGATAAAACATACTCAAAAATAGTCTTCAAAAGAAAGCAATACAGTCCGAATTGAATGAGCAGATAGAGGTGAAAATAAAAACCAAACAAACTACAATGATGAAATTTCCACAACAGAACAGAAGTATTTAGCAAATTCAAGAAGATAACAAGGCACGGTCTGTTGGAAGGACGCCAACCAAGATAACCTCAAACCAAAATAAAACACTTTGTATCCAGCGTTTGTAAGAACACAGGTCCAAACTCTTATGCAGTTCTCACACCTGCAGCCCGTGAAGAGGATCAAGGCCCTCTCTTCCTGACCATGCCTTAGGATGGTAGACCATGTCTCTCCCTTATCCTCTCCTCCCTTAGGATGGATAGGAGATGGGCCTGGGTCCTCCTCCGACTGCTCAGCTGGCCTCTGCCCTTCCCCAGCCTCCTCCACAACCTCCGGAGCCACACCTCCACTCCCTTTGGGCTGTTCCTCCTCTCCCTCAGAGTCAGTCTCCACCAGGGGCATGACACCATGTTAGATCCCTGCCAACATTTTTTGCTTTATAAAACATGTCATATATAGTATGCAGGCACAGTGTAATGTTTAGAATTGGAGTAGGAGGTTGGATAGATAGACGTATCATTCACATTTTAGTGCAATCTACATGGCAAAGGATATTTTTAACATTCTCAAATGAGCAATCTTTATTATATTTCCTTATCCAAAGGAATACATTCAAACACCTGTTAAAGTTATATGACAAATACTTTATTTCTCCTAGATGAGAAGCTTTAAACTTGGCACTCTCTTCCTCAGATTCAGATTATGAGTTCATTTATTTTGTCTAAAAAAGGAAGTTAAAATCAAACATTCAGAATTCTGTAAGCATCCAGTATTTTCCTAGGTTTCTTCTCCTTAACAAAACAAACCTGTATCTCAGGAAGTCTTTTTAGATTTGTACTACTGAATGTAGGCAAGGTAATTTTATAAATCGTTATTATCCAATACATCTTACTCTTCTTCCTTTCCCCCGGGGAATTAGGTGGTGTCATAAAAGTAAACATTTTCTGAAATAATTATGGTGTTATTTATATTCTATGCCATCGCTTGGTTGAGAATACTGACAGATTGGATTGATCCATGATAAATCCTCTCTTGCTACTTCAAATAGTATGAAAAGCTAATCAGATTCTTTTGGTTTTCTGCAATTATGTTTTATTGGAAGATTCAGGCAGCTACAAAACTGGTTGTACTTAACAAGAAGTAGTTCTTGTTTTTGTACCTTTAAAAGAATTGTTCAGATTCTGTGTGAGAACAGCACTTCTCTCATTTTTAATAAATTGGCATACCTTTTTAGGCTTCTGGGTACTGTCCCTTTTTATGACCCTGTAATCCCTTGATGTGGGATAGAATTGGGACAACTGGATGGAGCTGAGCGTTCACTGGCCGGATGCTCTACCTGATGCCATGCAGAGTTCACAGCAGATTTTTTTTCTTTGCGAGTAGCATGGTGGCCTAGTGGTGAAGACTCTTGCCTCCCATTTGGAAGGTTGAAAGTTCAGTCCTAGGTAGTGGCAGATGTTTCTACCCTAGGCTTCTTTGTAAACCTGAAAAAAGATATTGTTTCTTTAAAAGTTACACCAGTTGATTCCTTAAAGCAGCATTTTTTTTCTTGCATTGAAGCCTTTAAAATGTAACTTATCTATTGCTATTACTGATACAAGTTCTGAAACATTTCTTTGAATCATTTTTAAAGTATCTTCCGCCCTATCAGCCATAAAGATCTAAGGACCAGGAGAC